TTCAGGAACGATCGTCGATCAAATGGTCAAACAAGCAACACGTCTCTTCTTCAACAAGATTTATAGTCGTTTTATTCACCTGTGCAGTGCGTCTCTGCGTATATATAGCTACTAGTGCTGACACCCACGCTTAATTATAGATTACTCATTCCATTTGGGTATATGATTGGAACCATACCTGTAATCAACTTCCGTCTTCAACTGGCAAGTGACGGTCTAGATATCTCCAGCAACCCATAATCCCAAGTCTCAAACAAACAATACCATTGTTTTGCTTCCTGTGATATTGTCAAGATCTGAATCACAAACCATTCCTGTTCTTCACCTGTGTGGACGATACGGCATATTCCAGATGACTGTAGCATGTCGCGGGTAGGACATGCAGTACTGGATGGTCAGCTCATTCTGGCAGCCCCATTTCATCTGAGTCAACCATTGGCGGCCAAGGTCAATGTCAGTCAGGCTTTTTGTATTTGAAAACCAAATTCTCATTGAGGTATCCAAAAGGAAATGACGCATTGAAAACAATACAATGAATGCTGGCGCTGAAGTCATTGAATATGCTCATATTCATTTGGTTATAAGTACCTGTTCGTAGCAGACAAACAGACCTCCAACTCTTTGACCTAAGCGAGCAGATCATCCCAAAAATTCCGAAACACAAATGAGAAAGATGTCTGTGCTGTCTTTTGCTGAATGGACGGAACATGAACAAAATAATCTCAAATGATGATGAGGTCAAGAAGGAAGCGATTATATTGTACCAATGGACAAAACATGAGCTAGCGCCCCTTCCAGAGGTAAAGCCTTGTGACCATCGGGATCGAAAGTCATAACTCTATATATTGTGTTGTTTGACCTACAATGTTAATTCCAAAATCAAACATTTACGATATAGTGTTTTTTGTACACATCTACGGCTTTCCACGGATAGAAGCAACTGACGTATCAAGTAAACCAGAATACAAACATCTTAAATTTTATTTTTGACTGTGAAATGACGTAATTTGATACGGAATTTCTTTTGAGCCAATTGTTTTTGTTTAACTGGTATTGATATTCAAAACTCCACAGAGTTGAGAAAGTATATGATTTTGGACATCTGTTATAATAACTTTGCATTTAGATCATCAGGAGATGATTTTAATTTAATTCTCTGGCCTGCTATTTCAATCAGTAGCATTAATACCAGGCCACGACGGGATTACCGTCTTGTTGTTTAAAGCCAACTCAACAATATAAGGATGGTTTTTAGCGTTGAAGCTCATCAAAACGTTAATTCTAGAAGAGAATTCAATGTGTCCTCATCCTAGCGAAAATTATGGTATCTGTCGCACTAGATAACATATGGGATATTCAAAATCAAGTTCGATTTGACACGCATCAAAGGTCCTTATAAAGATATATATATCCGTGCATAAATAAGCACCACCCTGTATTTTTAAAACTTGTTCTTGCCTGAAACGTCCTCCTAAATTTTCCCAAAAATATAATGAGTAAGCATTTAACATTTCAAAAACGAAACATTCCATTGGAAATTACCATGTACTTTAATTATTAATGATAATTGCCCTATATTTAAAACCACGTTTTCTGTCCCAAACAAGTAACCTTATTTTGAAGTGCTCGAAACAATAACTGAATTGTTATGGCCTATAAATTAGTTTTTATTTATTAAAGAATGTAATGAAAATTTGTAAGCAAACTAAGATTCAGGGAAAACGTTACAGCTTCAAACCCAAAAAGTAAAATTTGAAATGCAGTAAAAGTTGCTGTGTACAACAAACAGATTTTTAGTTCGTAACTATCAATATCCCGGTAAGCAGAAGTGTTCATTCAATACAATAAACCCAAAATCATATTAAAAAATCCAACCTTATTTTCCAAAGTGTCCTTTTTTCATAGTTTTTGTCAGTTTAGTCAAACTGAATTGTTGGTGTTTCGGGTGGAACCCTTTTCATTATTGGGTTCTTCCTGATTATGGTCAAACCAAATTTTAACTTTCTACTCGCCGTAAAATGTCATCTTGAAAGGCGGCCAGGAATTATTTCTATCGTGCATCTTCGAAATCAAAGCGAATATGAAGAGGAATAGTTATTTTGGGTAACAATTCAGTCCAATCAACATTTTCCCATCACTATCCTCTTTCTTCATAAAGAATAGAAAAGGTTCGGTATCTCAGGTGTCCACGGATAAAGCTTTAATCCGCGGTTGACTGGGCTCGTAGGCTGCAATTCTAACCTTTTCTTGTAGAATCAAGCATCTATTTTCAAATAGAGTGGTGCTTAATTAATGCACGGTGTATAAATGATTGCAGGAATATAGAACCGACTTACGCAATATGTTTCTAACAGAAATGAGCATAACATTACGCCATCATTTAACAGATGACGAAATATTTTCTCAGGTACAAAAACAGATGGCGTTAACAGCTCAACTGCATTCCATTTGGGAAGATCTGTTGAGCTGTCCATGTTACAACACCATGGTCATTGTCCCATAGCGAAATACCACCATCGTCAGGTAATTGAACAAATGTACCTGGCAAGCAAAACAACAAGCGCTTAGCTGTAGTAGGTGGCAATTCAAGCGTCATATTGATGTATTGTCCCATTGGTACCCATCAATTATTGTACCGATGTTACTGTGTTAATAAGGTAATGTACTAACATTCAGCGGACCTAGTAAGTAATCAACACGATCATTGTCCAAATATAACCCATGAATATATAATAATCCTGCCTGAACGGGACCACCAATAGCTAGTAAACATTATGGCGATTGTTCCAGATGCAAGTAATATATCAATCACCGTCGTAAATCGTTTGATACATGCACATTTCGTTGTAAAATGATAAAATGAAAGAGTGCCAGTTTTAAAGGTTCATATAAATATGTAAACTGCCTCTACATTTAAATACACAAACCAGCGTTCACCTGCTAAAGAATACCGGCGATACCCTGACCAGGCATATTATTGTTTAGCGTCAGCAGTCGTTCCTTAACCCTAACGTCGCTCATCCCCAATCCTAAACCTTCTATCCCTACCTTCTCCTAACCCTTGTTCCTAACCTGCACAGCCCATGTCCCTAAACTTCATCTTCGCCCTACATCCTGAAAGCACAACTTTAATTACCATTACCTGCCGCTGAATAAGCCGAACATGAATCCGCTCCTGGATCTGGAAACGTATGGGGAAGACCTTGACGGTTTTGGCACTCTTCGATAAATATATTTATTGTTTCGAGCGGGTAAATCACTGTCCTGATTCATCCGGTACCCCCCATTCCGCCCTGTTTTGCTAGTTTTGAGATCCACCACTGTGGCGTCTTGGTCGTTCTTCCTTTCTCCGTCCGGTAGTAGTAATACGCCCTGAACATTTCGCCAAACACGATCTTTTGGATTTTCCAGCGTTTTTAACGACATGAATTGTGAATTGTGACATGTACGCTTTCATTATATGACGTAAGTGTCGTCAACAATATGCTGTTGCGTATAAAGCCCTGAACAACCACAAGTAGTGCCGCATACAAAAAGGAATAAAGTAAATCCTCCAGTATAAAAGTAAATATTGTGGTTAAAACATTATGTGAGTACAATATTTAAACTGTAATCACGGAAGTCCAAATTATCCCACCATTGTCCATCCAGAACATCCTAAGCGAAGTTGATTTTGTACAAGTCGGACTTCGTTTCATATTGATCCACCGCCCATGCTCACTGCTCAAGACCTGACCCCAGCTTATTTAGGTTCTGAGGCCCCATGGCTACCGTTCCAATCCCAAATATCTCTTGAACAAAGGTACAGCTCATTCTGATTATTCAATGCGATGAAAGTGTTGAAAGCATTTTCCCAGGAAGTGGAAATATGCCCGACGAACTAAATAATGTTCTTATGGAAGAAAAGTTTAAATGAAAAGACCAGAGTCGATTCCAGCGTCTGGAAGAGGCAGTAACGTTCGTTAAGCCTACATCAAGTTTCGGTGACTACCAACCTTTATTAATCCCCTGGTTTCAGCGAAAAAGTCATCACAAGCTGGTCTTCAACACCAACAGGACATTTTCAACTCCCCCATCGTCCCCAAAGATCATTCTGTCCCTCTCGGTGTTGGGTATTCTGACATCTTATTACGCAACCGACTGCTATGTGAGATAATCAGCTGCATTTGCATGCCTCACTGATCCAATATGTCAGGGTCCATCCTTCAACTGCTCGTTGATTTTAAATGATGATGGTCCCTACCTTGAGAAATCAAATCGCATGCATACCAGTTGTCCCATCAAAACAATATAAACCAGCATAACATCGTCGTTACGTCTAGATTCAAAGAGATGTATCCACTGGAAGAATTGGGAGATGGAGCAGCAACCCACCATTTGAAACTCGATTGAAAATTGAAATGTAAAACGAGTAATATCATTAATACTTAATTATTCTGTTATTTCATTCTTTTAGGTAAATGGGATTCAATAACACCTAAAGCCAACTGGAGTCAACCTGTTTTGAAAAAATGAACTTGCATGCACGAGCAGATGGTTAAGCTGGTGTCATCAACTGTTGCATCTTCTGGCAAACAACAGACATTAGAGGATTGATGTGTGTTCCCTTCAACACGTGGCCAACATCAACAGTACGAGTACTCTCTGACATGAAGCCATGACCCTGAACCAAAACAATCCCAGTCCTCCATAAACAAGAACCATTTTTCTTGTCATCCGTGAACATGCGACGCTATTTTGTCTGGAATCAACTGGTAGTTTAGTTAGGAAGAAGATCTGCATGAAAGAGCATCCGTTTGCTAAAGGACGGCAGACAGCATCCATTCTGGGGGCAAAACATCCTGGATAGTTTGTGTGGTCCTGACATATCATCATGTTTATCATGTTTACATGAGTACTTACTGTCCTGCTAAGAGACCCCAAGTTCCCAGACAAGAGTCCCATACTGAGATCCTAATGGAATGGTTGACTCTTTAACGAAATCCAGGAAAGCCAGCGAAATGGCGAAGGCTGCAGTGCTGTTGGATAGCGGTGTTGTTTGTCCATTGATGTTAACGCTGTTTGTCGTCATTCAAGATGAAGACAGAAAGACGAGGTAAAGAGGTAGCACCCTTCAACAAAACCCGAACTCAAATAATCTCTGGTTTCAGATGGCCTACATTTACAATCCTAGACTGAGTTTACTCACCTGTTTGAACAATAATACGAACGGTTTGGCCGGGTGATTGTTGTAGAGCAGGTGTTGTTCATGCTTGATCTGCGGTGTGTACTGTGCCCAAAGCTGGCCTGATCTGACTGGAGGACCCTGCCTCCGTTTGCCCAAGAAGTTCGTTATTCCACCGCCTCTGAGTATGGGATGACGTCCACCACTGGACTTGAGTGTTCTTTGACCGTTCTCAGCGAGATCCAAATCAGCAGCGAGAGAAACTTCCGAAGAAGCGTATAGAGCGCTTCACCACATCTCCCCTGAACAACGACGCTGTAGGTGCTGTCACTGTTGACGTTCAGCAAAGTCCTGCTTTCCATCGGACAGACAGCTGAAGTTCAAAACCAATGTATGAATATAGGAATGGTAGAAAACAATGACATCCGCATCAGCTGATGTCCGTACCGACGTTAAGTGAGTGAGGAATATAGTTTGACGCCGTCCCTTTTGTAACAATTATTCGTTTATCATCGCATGACTGTTTCACATATTTACCCGGGATTCGAATCCCGTCTTAGCCGTGACGCAGAGCACATGCTTCCCATTTCCGATAATCTCCCATCTTCGATAAAGTTCAACGAATTGAAATTTCAACGAGTTCATCATCCTCAATGGTTCCCGACACTCTTCAAATATTTGCTTTGCTGAGGCCAGGGTCTCTACGCTTAAGCCCAAAGCGTTACCGTCGAAGACCCAAAACCTGATTCCCACATGGGTACAAAACATGTGAAGTCCATTTCTGTCCCCTCAATGATACTATTGCTGGAACATTGCTAAAAGCGACGTAAAACTAAACCTTCCACCTGCTCAATTCGTTCATTCGACCATGAACTTGCCGCATGTCTACTCATTAAAATGTTATTCATAAACATATATTCAAATATTTGTTTTGTAATTTGATAATGTTCTTGTCATTTTGCATCATCTTGATAGACCCACTTAATGGCACTGTTAACAGAAGCACCCTAAAACCATCGATAGCGTATTCATTTGGAATACGGTTCCTGGAATAATCACAATGAACCATTCCTTGACTCTAAAAAATGTCTGCAAGATTCGCATTGCTATCGGCGTCGAGTTCATTTAGTTTACGCCCACCTGCGCCCAACATCCCAGCCATATGGTCGTGGTCTGTAACACCGAGTCTGACCACGCAATCATGTCGATCAACAGCATGCGAGCATCGATCTACGAAATTGGGAACCGATGACATAAAGTCAATCCAAGTCCGGGGCGAGTCTCCGACCACCCGCGATCCCGCACTAGTCCGTCCCCCAATACAGCTACGGGTTGGTCTTCGAAGGTCAATATTTAAACCGGACCTTCACGGGTAGTTAACGAAAATTATGATACAACCAGTCCCGAATGTCTGCCAAGAGTTCTAGATATCCTGTTCATGGTCTTCGTGTAAACATACTTGCACCGACACAGAGCCTCACGAGACCAGAAATACGTACAATTCCAGCTCCCCGGGATACAATATCTTCTTCCACTGTAAAGACTGCACAGTGCTCAGTCGATGTCGGTAGGCGCTCAGTTCGAGCTAACTCCTCTCAAATAAACGAAGGGCAACTCCAAATCACTGGACATTGATAAGAGATGAACAGCAACCGGTTATCTGTCTGTCTTCGTGTGTCAAGGTTAAATGTGAATGTCGACTTGGCTCGTGCTGCTGTCGGCGTTTACCTGACCTGTATCAATCTCTGCGATAACTCAGCACGCGAGCAAGCAACATTGAATTAGGGAATCTTCCGCATTTCTGTTCCTTGTTCAATTTGGTGAAACCATGACATTTCGTCGTTATCTACATGGTTATCCTGTGACCTTATGGTTCTTGCTTTGTTCCTGTCCTGTCACCAAACATAAGACTATGTATAGTGTCTCCTCGGAGTCTTTTGTTGACAACATTGCTTCCTTCTGCCAACAGTAAATCTGATGCGTATTGTCTCTGAAAATCTTCTAGAGCCCCCATTCTTGAGTTGTATACTCCTAGTGAATGATATATTCATTCTCCCTTTAAAATAGCAAATTATTGTATTGACATAAACGGTCAAATGTATTTGTATGAAAAAATCTGTGGACATAGTTTTGCAATGAAATAATATAATTGGGTGGCATGTCACTCTGTCTCCAAGTTCCACTGGGGAAAAAGAGAATGTAAACTGGCTAGCCCCGGCAGATACACTTAGGTATAAGCTATTTCATTGTCATTAACCACAGAACATTCCAAGACGCATAATCCGCCTTCTTTCTCTCAAATAAATTCATATTGAAATTGTTTCTAGCAATATATTTCTCCCAATGTCATATACGTCTTTAGTAACCCTTTATATTCGGTGAAGCTTGGTTTCACACCCTTGATAATTTGCCTGAGACAAAATGGTCGCTTGGTCTAATATGATCATGTATTCGAGTTCTGCATGGTCCGCTATTAGCACAAATACCAGTTTGGCCCATCTTGAGAAAGGACACAATTAACAAAATTGGTGAATCTCTTTTCCAGAATATTCTAATGGTTGACATTCAACTTTTCCCAGAATCTCTTGTTCGAGCTTCTGTGTTAGTGATGCGATATATAGTATGACCAGAAATTATTGGAGAATTTGGTATCGAAAATATGTTTAATTGCAGATTTCTAGTAGAAACAACCTTGTCCAGCTATAAAGTATCTAGTTTCATTCAAGAGAGACAACCTGTCCTTTTTATTATAGAATGAGTTCTCCCTCTTGTTCTAAGCAGTTTAGACGACATTTTCTAAGATCCTCAGTATGGATGATTTAGAGAAGAGGAAGCTCGATTTTAGAGTATTATAACAAGGACATCAGATCAGCTAAAGTGATTTCAAGTAGAGCATATCCCTTTGTCCACTGTTTATCGTACGTTTTAAAAAAATATTGCAAATGGATATGGCATTGAGCAACCTATGCTGATGAAGTTTGTACAGGGCCCAGAAAATTGACTGGCGACCATAAGAGGCGGTTTGGAAACACTTGTCTCCAAACAAACGAAGTCGAGTTTAGAAAACGTAAGGTCGGCTGGATACATATTTCGACTGATAGAGGGACTGTGGATCTGTAAGGGAGGCAATTAGAACTGAGCTGCATGCAATGGGTTGGCAGAAAAGTCGAGGAATTCACTGTACTGATCAAGGAACCTGAAACAAAAGGAGCAAGTTTGACGGTGCTCTGGCAGTGCATAGAACTTAACTAGACAATGCGATTCCTTTCCGAGATGAAAAGATCTGTAAAACTTCTAATACATCAAAATTTCTGGACCAACAGTCCAAACACCTTTGGGTGAATAGCGCCCAAAGTACAAAGTCCGCCGAAAATTTAACGTGGCATATCAGGTGTTAGGGCAATGTCTCTGTGTATTTGAAGGAATATGAACAGGGAGCGGCAAGTCACAGGTATTCTCGAGGGATATTTGCATTTCCATCTGCTCACCGTTCTATGGAATTTTTTTATTCCAGGTCAACGACCTAAAACATCGTTTTCCTAAGCATTCACAGGCCTGGTTGGACCCAAATATTATTATTATTAGATTGGCCAAGTTATGCCCTGACCTACACATCCAATGGTAGAAAAAATGTTGGGGACTTATGAAGGAAAGTGTCAATGTTTGAAAATATTGCCGAATTGAAAGAAGAGGTGGTCCGATATTGGGGACAGCATGGACCACGACTTTCTAACTTATCTGATCAGTAGTATGTCCCCACTGCATTGAAGCCTGCATGGCTGCCCTTGGTGACTTGACTAAATACTTCAACCATTGTTCGCCTGTCTTTGAATCTGAGTTACGTTCTGCTAATAGTCAAGAAATTTAATACGTGAGTAATGAGTGAAAAAAAGAAAGAAATTACAATATTAAATTTCTCCAATAATATTGACGCAGCCACTGTACCTTCATTGATGTGAAGTTACATGTCTGAGTGATTCAGGGATAAGCAATAAACCTTGAGAAAACAGAAAGTCGACGTTATTCTAAACTTGAGAAGGACTGGCAGAGTCTGAAGGAACTATATTTGCACCATTTGCGGTTGTTATTTTGGTACAGTGTTACCACTGGTATCGTAACTGACTCAGGTAACCATGTTCCTGAAACCTTTTCCTGAATTGAGTCTTGCTTAGGATGACGTAATGATATCAATTTGTGACGTCATGAGCAGAAGCTGTTCTTGAAGGTCTGTGACGTCAACTGCCAAATCAATTGCTGATTATTATGAGAAACATTACTCTCGATCTTTTCAAATGCACATGTTTTTGTGAGGTTCAGTTTGGTGTTCATATGATATTGCAAGAACAAGTATCTTAGGGTGTCCTTTTGGCCTATGAATGTCTAGGGCCTGACTCCGTGACCCACACTCAAAACCATCAGACTATGTTCAAGTGTCCCTGGGAGGGGCGGTGGCAGCTAGTGAGCCAAAGCGTTGGCTCGTCACGCCGAAGACCTAAGGTCTGAACTCCCACAAGGGTACAGAACCGTGTAGTTCCATTCCTGGTGTCCCCGCCAAGGATTACCACTGGAATATTTGTAGTTCTAAGTGCCGGCAAACCATAGTCAAGGTATCCTGGGAGAAATGCATTTGTTGACAAAATAGCTTTCTCTGGTGTAGAATAGCATTGTCTCTGAAAATCCTCTAGAGCCTCATACAATTCCTTGAGTCTTTATACCTCCTGGGTACTATAGAGTGTGTGTACTTTTGCTTGTGAGACATCAGTGTTGACGTGAGCCACGACCCTGTCTGGAGCCCAACATCAGTTGTAGATCAAGTAACATTTGATTGACAACCGATTGACCTTATTCTGGTAGCGCACGCTATATCATCATGCGATGTCAATAGTCAGGGTCACGCTTTAACCTCATGTTTATGATGTCTACAGGCCATG